GTGAGCGGTGCGATCGTCGGTCCCTTTTCGAGTCAGAGAATTTAATCCCTTTAACTCAGGATCGGACCTCGTGCAATTTCGAGAGGTGGATGGTACTGAGGATGAGGTCTCAATTAAATGAAAGAAACAGTTGAGTTCATCTTAGAAATAAATAGAACATTTATTACAAATTAACATAGAATTTACTAATGACATTGAGTAAAGAAAATCAGGCAATCGTACAAATAATAAATAAATCCAGATAAAGGGTAAATGTATTAAATTGTAGGTGTAACATGTGTGTGTATTTCTCGCGGGTAATACATAGGTGCGGGGGTGATCGGGCAAGATCTTTAAGGAAAAACCTACTTAAAAATGAACATCCTGCCCGCTATTATTACAATCGGAATCAGTAGTGAGATTACATGAATTTAGTGAAGTGTTGTGTATGTGTGTAAATTAATTAAATTAAAACATATGAGAATTAAAAATTAAAATTTATTCTATATTTATTAATCTAAGGTTACGATCTCAGGATCGCCTACTTCCTCAAGATCGAGAGTCGAGGCGGTCGAGGAGGTTGGGGACGGTTTTCGGGAAGAGGAGGGGGAATTGGGAGGTTCTAGGAAGCGGGCTGGATCGGGGTTAACGGGGACCACGCGAGGCGGGACCACGCGAAACGGAGCCACGCGGCAAATAGGGCGATGTTCGACAATTGGGCGAGAGGGTAGGACGACTGGGCGATAGGGCAGGATGATAGCGGGACGATTGTGAAGCGAACAACCGGGTTCTTCCGTAAAAGCTGGTAGGGGCGGTGGGATGGCGAGTTGCGGAGGACCGGCGTTGAGCTGCTCCCGGGGGAGTTCGACCTCCCGTCACGCCCGCTTGTTCTAGCGATTTCTCTGTCGCCTGATCGTGCGGAGATTCTGTCCTCGAGGGGGTAGGACTTTCGGGTTCACTAAAATTATTTACTTATTTAGTCGATCTCTCTCGGACCCGGTCGGAAGCGAACAAAAGGAAATCGTCGAGCTTAAAGGGGGAAGAGGTCAGTGGACAGGCTGGGTCCACGACAGCGACGAGACGCCAGAAGCCAAGTCAGGCCTACCACAACGCCAACGACCGCTGGGAACTCGATGCCTACACTGACCGACCCACGAGCATAAGCTCAGGGAGGTCAGTGGACCAGCTGAGTCCACGACAGCGACGAGACGCCGGGAGGTAAGTCAGGCCCACGACAACGCCAACGACTGCTGGGAACCTGATGCCTACACTGACCGACCCCAAAATAATAAGCTTCCGGGGATCCGACAATCGATAGACCGTTTAAGAAGGGGGGCGATAACGCGGAAAAAGAAGGATCAAAAGAATTACGGGACTTACTACTTGATGACTTGAGTTCAAACGAGTGGCCTTCTCTCTGAATGGACGTTGGACTCGTCGGTGGGTGAGTCGGGGCGACTGATGGTCCGTCGGATCTGTTGCACTGAGTCTAAACGTGGAGTCGAGACTCGAAACGAATGAGATTTAGACTATAATACCGAGCAATGCAGACTGGGACTGAGAAAATTTCTCTGAGGGCGAGTCCTGCGACGTCGCGATTTAAATAGGAAGCTTCGAAGGATGGAAGGGGTGAATTTCGTGTGGGATGTGTCTGGTTTTCGTTTAAAGGATTTCGGGTTGGCGGGATGTTTCTAATTTTTGTTTAACGGATTTCTTATTGGTTGAGATGTTCCTCACCCAAGAGGTAGATTCTTAAGTTTTCGCCTATCCTGGAAAGCTAGAGACGGTTATCGATTTTTGCGGTTTTCCATTGGTGAGCCCCCTCTTAAGGCCCCACTGTCTTATTGGGGGTGTAACCCATCGGTTCTTTCCAGTGACGCATTCGTTTTTCGGCTATCGCCGATTTCTCTTTTATTGGGGTTCCTTACTTATCTCGCGACCCTGTTTTTATATCGACAGACGATGCATACTTCTCAATCTTAATGGTAGGTACAAGGCAAACAGAACTTCCGCCACGTGTATTTACAATCACGTCCTAGGCTTTGTCTCTGTTTGTCGGAAACATCGCACGAGCAATTTTAGAAAGCTCGCTCGATGCAATAAAGATCTTCATCAACTCTGTCTGGGATTCAGGCCCTTTTGGCGCGTCGTGTCGCCGGGTTTATAGTTATGGGCCAGACAAGGTTGATAGACAAAATCCCATTACGTATGCCCCGTCTGTCAATAATTTACTCTGGAGGGTCGCTTCGTCGCCTAGGCAAATAGCTATTATAGTTGTATAAAAAAAAAAAGGAATGCGAGATCTAACCTCACCCCGATCGATAACCGTCCGTACTCGACTTGTTTATCCTAATCTTAGGGCTATCTTAGGTGTATAAGAATTTCCGCGAAAAAGGGATATCGTGGAGTCCGCAGAACGTAACATTTACAAATGATTTGGCCCATTTCTCCTTTGACACAGAGGACCGTGTGAGTGCCGCACACGAAAAACAAAATAGAGGAATACGATACACCCTGCGGA